AATAACGCAAGGATTAAATTTGGCATTAATAACACATTTTTTTTAATTAAGATTGAAAATATAAAACAATTTTTTGAGAACTTTGCAAAAGGTTTTATCGTAAACTTTTTGTACTACGTTTTATTGCAGTTGTTTATTGCATTTAGAAAGTATAAAAGTAACGTTTTCAGCACAATATCTGTACATTTTCTGCTTAACTAAAACATGAAGCAAACATCATAACAAGCTTGGGATTTAAGTTATTCCACTGTGTGCCTTTGTCAGGCCCAAGTGTTCTCCGTAATATTAATTATTTCCTTAAATACAAACTGTGTTAACGACGAAAACTTGAATCAAATCTTAACACAATTTTTTTCATCAAAAATTTAAATAACGTTACTTGTTTCAAATAAATAGGTATAAAGAGTTCTTTCTAAAAGATAAAATTATTTAAGGATTTTTCTGATTCAGTAAGTGTGGTTCAACAAGTTCACAGAAAAGTAAAGGATGTTTTGTGCTTTATTTAATTTGACAAAATACAAGTATCTCTAACGAAACTTTGTTCAGTCATATTTTTGTGACATAAAGCTTTTTGTATCTATCTTTCCCATTCAGATATTGCTTTATTTACACTGCTTTGTAAGTAATCAAATGTTGGTTCTTTCAAACTTTGATTTCATTCGCATATTAGCTACCACTTTTTTTTAATAGATAATTAACTTTTCATATATTTTTGTGAGTTCTCGATTTAAGTTACTGAAATGATTCTTGAAACTAGTATCGTTTGCGAGAATATAATAAGTAGAAATTGTCATTGCTAAATAATTGGTCTGAAAGTTCAAAGCTCGTCTAATTTGAAGTCTTTACGACAGTTTCAATTTATCATTTTATTCTCCTACAGCTTGCCGATCCGGAAGATAAATGTGCCATTCCATTTAAACCTGTAATAATTGCGGCGCATATTTGTGATCGATTCGTTTGTAATATTTACCTATAAAATGTACTCAATGAATTTATATGACCACATTCGGCAAATGCTTTAAAAATGAAACAGATTTTGCGGCCGGCAATTCTCCCTTTAATTAATTCATTTTTGATATTCTATCAAACTTTAATCTAAACTCATCCATTCACAATAATTCTATCCTCAAGGGTTATTAAATTTCCCGTGTTTCTGTCACATACTGACCCTTGTTCCAAGCCCCAATCGATAAAATATTATGTATTGTAATATCTGTGTACAAAGCTCGTCCTAATCTTGTTAAACTTCTTGTACAGCGCTCGCCTCCCATGTTATCACCACACCTACTCTGTCCAAAAACCTACAGCTGTAGGTACGTAATTAATTCAATTGCCCACAGCGTTTGTCAGTTTTCAACATAAAAGCTTTGGTTGGCCTTTTTCACTGAAAGATTAGTCTATAGTATATCAATTACCGGACAAATCCTTGAAGGTTTCTCTTTATTTTTGTTCGAATTCGATTGCGGTATGGTAGAGATGGTTTACTTATATGTTTTTTCTTGGTTTCGCAGCGGTGATGGAGAGAGCTCTATAACGGAGGGGCTGAGAACCGCCCTCGCCCGACTGCGACAGAGATCAACTCCCCCTGCTAGCCAGACATCCCCATTGCACCAACCTTCTCATGTAAGTGTCTTTTAAAGTGTTTGCAGCTTTTTAAATTTCTATTTTCCGAATACTTTCACATGGAAAAGGTGCAACTTTGCAGAAAAGTATATTACCAAGTATTTTGAGCATACAACGAGAAAATGATAACGTTGAAGTGTGACTTTATCAAGCAGTTTAGTTTTGGCCCTTGTGGTGTAACTAGTATTGTTTATAATCGCTTAATAAAGGGTGCACTTGTGTCTTTATAGTTTCACTAAAGCAAGTAGTTTTGCCAAAGTTTCTCAAATGTCAAAATGTAGATAGTCTTCATTACATAGCCTAGAATATAAAGGTTAATACGATATTAGAATAACAAACTTTTTACACGATGGCAAAAAAATCTATGTGAGAGTTGAAAATCAAAGTCAAACTCAAGTATAAAATCAGGTTTAATATCCGAAAAATTAACGAGCCCTTTCGAGACTAAATTGTCTCTGTGTAAAGAAGACAACATATAACAACTAATCTGCATAATTGTGGGAACTTACCATAAATATAAATAAAATGTACTGATATATCAGAAACAAAACTAAGAGTAGTCCTCGCCCTATAGAAAAACTTTATGGGGCGAGACTAACAATGAAAACACCTGGATGAAAATAAACTTAAAAGATTTTATTGAAAAGTTTATTGAAATACACGTTAGGTGTTATAGATTTGCCTCAAAATGTGTAACTTCTACTCTTGATAGAACAATACATTATTCACATTCTTTGTGAATTCGTTTCATTAAAATTGCAATACTCTTATCCACTCCTAGTAGCTACTAGACTTTGAATTAAAAAAATATGAAGTAATGATACTTTTTCCGTAACAATTTCTTTTTATCATATATTTTATTTGCGAATTAATCAACTTTAAGAGAACCCAGACAAAGGTAAATAAATAATAGTATAATAATAATTATGACACGGTAAGTTTCCAACTGGCAACTTGTTATGGTTACTTGAGAAATTAAATATTAATTTTTAATCTTCGGCTTTAACTAAAGTAAACTATACATATGTACGCAATGCATACATTGTTTTTTTTTTGTATTTTACAGGATGTTCCGTTTTTATTGTTACAAATTTAGACAGGTGATCGAACATTCAATTTTAAGACAAAAGTTTCTTATAAACATGTATCAATGTTATGTAAGCGAGTTACACCCCCTAAAAGAGATGAGTTTTTTAATAGAGTTTTCCCACTATTGTAGAATAGATAAAATTAAAAAGTTGGTACGACTGATAAATTTTAAACACCTGAACGAATTCAAAGATCAGTTGTCAAAATTTTTAAACACGGGCGTCTTAAACGGTAAAACAACTTTAATTTTTAATTTTTATCCTCTTTATGGTCTGTAAGACAAAGTGTAAACTAATTTTATTCAAAAACGGTAAGTTGTATCGAAAAAATGCAATGCAAGAGACCTATTTTTTGTGAAAAACTATGAAATTTAGAATTGTGTGGCTGAAAGTGGCAAAAATCAAGCGCCAAAATAGTTAGGGTACCTTTTACCCTAAACCCCCCAGTTTAGGACGCCCTTGAGTAAAAACTTCGACATTTTATCTTTGAATTCCTTTAAGTGTATAATGGTTATTAGTTGTACCCAATTTTGTAGTTTTATCCACAATGGTTTCTGCAATATTGGAAGAAAACCATGAAAAGATGCACCCCTTTCAGGGGATGTAGCTCCCTTATATAAACTTTTTCGATACATGTTTTTAAGAAACTTTTATCTTAAAATTAAATATTCTATCACCTGGTTAAATTTGTAACAATAAAAACAGAACACCCTGTATATAATAAAAAATGATGTAATTTTCTTTTGAATTTTATTTAAAACAATACATTTAGTTTTGTATAATTATTCTAAGGTTTTGTATTTTAATTTTGATATTAAATTTAATTTGCAGCCAGTGTTGTAGGTGTGATACATAAAGGAATAATGACGTGGTGGCTAAGATACTATTACACAAAACAATTATATTATTCCAATTAGTGGAGGTATGTCAGGATCTAGTTTCCTTGCAACAAAATTAAACTTTTTACTATCGGAACTCTTTTTAAGAAAATGTACATATTTGTCTTTAAAATAATTATGGGTTAATTGTATTAATATTGTTTTATCTACTATTATTCTTTTATTGCAGAAAGGTTTATGTGGATGCCAATATAATTCAACTTTTTATTTTCACGTTATTTTTAGAAAGATTTTTCGTATACAATATTCGTATCTTTGCGTGATTCTTGGAAATAAATTTTGCTTATATACCCATGGAAAAGGAAGAAAGAAATTAAACCTTTCAAATTAATTTTTTGGAAGGAAACCTAAGTGTACTTTTAATATTAATTTTATTTTCTACAGATAGTAACATCGTTACACTCGTGGTTTAAAAATCCACTCGGTGAAATAATGCGTCCGATTTACACTCAAGCGAGTTGAATACAACATTTTATTCTTCGAATTAGAGTCAACAAGTCAAACTTGCTTTAAATCTGTTAAAAATAATCTGACGTTTCGTTTTTTTGAGAAATGCCAAACAGTTGTCAAAACTTCCTTACACGAGAGAAAAACTGTAAATTTTGACAATGTCGAAGAATAAATACAGTAATGGAATTGTAAAAGAAATGTTTTTTTGTGACTTTGGATTTAAGTAAAATACATCTTTGCTTTTGTAATATTTAATTCATATATTTTAAACAAGTGACGTAATTTTGTATTTATTATAATTACACGTAAACTTTCAAAAAAATTGCATTATGAATCTAAAACTCTTATAAAAAGTATTAATACATGCAAATTTGTGGAACACATAGGTAAACTTGAATTAATAAAGATTTTTATTGCACATTTGATAGAATCGTTCTAATAATAAAGAATAATGTTTTGTTTGCTCATTGAATAATGCATCAAAGTTAGCTAACTAGTCAAGTTTGTGAAGTTGAGCACTAATACTCGGGTTAAATTCTGTTATTGGCACCAACTGTTGAAAGTTTCGTAGATTTGAAACATTTATGAGGTATACCTCAAATTTAATCTCGGTGCCTCGTATGTGCATTTTAAGAGGATGCCTCTAAATTATTAAAACTTAATACCAACTTCTCGTGTTTCAAGATTGAATTAGGCATGCACTTTACAACCTTTTGATCTGTAAATGAGAACAGCGGAGCGGTTTAGATGGCTTTCTTTTAAAAGGCATCGATGAAGTAAGGACAATTAGGTAATTTGATAAGCCGCAAATTAAAAGGATATTCAGCAAAGCTAAAAGTTATATGTTGTATAAGTTATGTTGTTGTTGGGTTTATTTTTTTAAAAGGTAAAACAGTTTATTACATTTTATTTGCGTTAGCTTATAAGCTATATCATCTCACTTCATTAAATAAAAAAAGTTTTTTTTTATTATTTTTTTATTTATTGTGTTTAGTAAAACGAAATTAATATTAAAGCTTTTTTTAATAACGAGTAGAATTGAATTACATATATTTTTATTACAGAAAACCTGATACTTATAATAAAAGTATTTAATTACAAAATTCTTACAATTTGATAAAATATTTAAAAAGCGATTTTTCAAGGTTTACTATACAGGGTGCGCCAGAACTCGCGCTCCAGAGAAAAATAAGGTAAGATACCAGGAACATGGAAAAAATGTTAAAAAAAAATTATCTATAAAAATTTTGAAGTTACGAGGGTTTAAAGTTTGCACTTTGACTCTATTTATTTCTGTTGGAAAAATAATTTTACAAGTTTTTTTGCTATAGGCTATTAAAAGAGGAAACAAGGAAGCTGTATCCTAAATAGTAACTCTGTTCAAAAATGTCAAATGTCAAAAAATAAATGTAAAAATTTTTTGACAGATAGAATTTTTTTAACATTTTTTTCATGTTCCTGGTATCTTACCTTACCTGAAAATTTTTTCTTAGGCGCGAGTTCTGGTGCACCCTGTAGAAAAAATTAATTTACATACTTACCAGCAAGTTCAATGATTATCGTAGTATCAAAGTAAAATCAATAGTATTCGTTATTGTAGTTTTCTTACATTTTTTTTGTAATTTTTATTAGTGAATATTTATTATTAATAATAATGAATTGCTGGTTTAGTGGTTTAAAATGCAATTTTAAAGTGATAAATAACCAAGAAAATTAGGGGAATTTTGCCAATTTGTAGTTATTTTAAGAATATACATTCAAATTAATAATTTTTTAACAATTTTATTTCTTGTTTTCACGTCAACACTAATTTTTTAATTCATGATTTGTTTTGAGTCAAATGGAAAAAATAGAACTGGCAGTAAACTAATTTATGAATTTACTAAATATAACCGTATACACACCTAATTATACATTTACTGAAAAAGTAAACGTATTTTTAGTCAATATTTGTGAGTTATAGTGACAATGAGTTCTTTGGAAAAATAACTAAATTACTGTCAAACTAACCTAAACCATATTTCTATTAGAGTAGCCAATAAATATTAAAAAATATATATATTCCAAATAGTTTCGTATATTATCTTTATGTATAGTGTACTGTGTAGACTATAAAAGTACATTTTTTGATAATGTAATCTTAAACTTTAAAATATAGTTGTAAAATTGCAGGTATATTTTGTAAAGAGAATAAAAATTAAATCAAGTTAAAGCAAACAAAAACAGTACTTATTTAAATAAACAACTAAAAATATGAATTCGACGCAAAAATATTTTCCATAGGCTATGTTCATAACCCTAACATTCTTATATTTTTAACCCATGCACAACAAAATTAAAAATAAAGAAACTTGTTCTAATTGGAATATTACCTATAAAAACTGAATGTTTGGAATTATCGTTATATTATTGTGTGATAAAATAAATTGTAGTACTTTTTAAATAATTCAGTAAAAGTAAACAAGAGTATAGTCCGAGTTCGTTTATTTATTTGTTATTATATGACATATTCTTGAATTTCAAAGGTTAAAATAATTTTATTGTTTTTCCTAACATCGCAAAC